TCAGGGGGTAATTTCATGTAACTTACTAGAGTCAGAGAAAAAAACCTGGTTTATTATATTTTTTTGCAATGCTGCAATTTCTTAGAAGAAAAAGAAAAATGCTATGGACGTCTTTGAGTCATCTGTTCATCTGTGAAATTTCTTTTACAATAGGCATTTAGATCTGTCCTGGTTTTTTTTTTTTTTAAAGTGGCAGCAAGTTGCTAGGTGAGGCTGTGCGTTCCGTTCCTCTGGGCTTAGCTCAGTCCTGCTGGGGAGGGGAGGGGAAGGGAGGACTCAGGGTCAGGAAGTGCGGGGTCTGGAAGAGGCTGGACTCCTGCTACGTGTCCCTGTGACCACAGAGGAGCTGGGGGAGGGGGCCCAGGCTCCAGCTGGGCCACGGGGCTGGCTGGGCTGGCTGGGCTGGCTGGGGGGCCCTTCACATACCTCCCAGTCACAGAGGCCGGTGTGAGGTGTGGACCTGCTATGCTGCGTTGCCTTTGTGACCTGGGTCAGACGCAGCAGCCTGTAGGCCAGTTAGAGGCCAAGAGCGTTCATTTTCAAGGGGCTGGAACCTAGTTGATGTTTAACTTGGCTGCGGTCTTGTACAAGTTGGAGCTGTGAGTATTCAGCCTCTAATTGCAAGTCATCTTTTGGAGGAGATCAAGCAGGTTTTTTGTTTAATTTTTTTTTAATGTGTGGAGACCAGAAGGAACACGCAGACTTTGTCTCAAAACTTTGTTCTTGGAATGGATTATGGATCAAAAGAGAAGAATTGAATTAGGGTGACATCAGCCAGCGCTGCACACTTTTACATTTTTCTTGCAGCGGAAAAAAATCCTGAGCAGAGCTGGTTCTTTGGTGCAGAAAGCAATCCCAGGGCTACAGCCCAGGAACTTGAGCTGGGGCAGCCCCCCCCCCCGGCCTCCTGTCCCCAGGTGTGAAGACAGTCCTCCGGTGGGGACACGCTCGGGCTTTTCTAGGGATTTAAGCTGTCCTGGGTGGCAGCCTTCTAAATAGCGTCTGAAGTTGCCAGGAGAGTGCCAACAGATTCTGTGGGACAAAGGAATGAGCTGAATAAAAAGAAATGAGTTCAGTCCTTCCGTCTCCCTGTGCGGAGGCCCCTGGGGCCTCTGACTCCATACTCTGTGGCTGTCAGTCAGTCCTGGGCAGAGCTGACTGAGCCTCACATTTTCAGGGGAACTCGGGGTTCCCAGAAAGCAGCCGCAGATGCACTGTGGAAAAGATGGAGCTCTCCCAGAGCCCTTAAGAGGAAAGCCATGGCTCCAAACCTGGCGTTCATCTGCCTTCCACCAGCAGGTGCTCCGGCCACCTCTGGGCGAGGGGCCAGGGCCTGCAGGGAAGCCAGAGGAGAGCCACAGGGAAATCTCACCCGCAGAGTTTTCCGGTGGCCGCCATGCTGGTCCTGACTCGTTGGGAGAGCAGTGCTCATAACAGCTCCTTCCCAAGAACGAAGGCTGCTGAGCAAGCCACCCGCTGTGCCCACACTGGGCCCTGGTGTCTTCCTTGGACCCACTTCGCGCTCTGGGGGACACCTTCTCCTTGGCTCTGAGCCTGCCCTTCACTGGGCTTCGTGGAACTGTTCTGCAGGAGGTGTGAAGTCTACTTCCGTGCCAGAAGTGCTTCCTTCATCCACTCCTAGCTCTCGTGGAAAGGGGGGAGTGTTAGATGCCATCTCTGAATGCTAAGGCACTCTTCATTTTTGTCCTCTGAACATGACATTCTGTTTTTTGGTGGGACTGTCCAAAGGGGAAGGCCGCAAACCAGGCCATTTTCTGTGTGCACTCTTGGGACGGCAGGTTGAGGACGCTTCCTGGGTAAGAGTCCGCGGTGCGCCGGCCGTGCCAGCCGGCTGTACGCCAGCACGGGGATGCCAGCTCTCCCCGGCGGGTTCAGGCCCGTCTCCCCCCCCCACCCCCAGAGTTGGCCTGTTCTCAGTCCGTGGCATGTGGAGCGAGCGGAGTGCAGGCAGCACAGCCCTCCGCAGGGCAGAAGCTGTCCTCTGCTTGAAAGTTCAGGAATTGGGCTCTAGGTGGCTCCGAACTGTCCCTCCCTTCCCGGAACACAGCAACCGTGCTAGGCACACATTTCTGTAAGGAGGAGTAAGAAGCTCCAAACTGGGGTCGGTGTGAAACACCTGTGAGGTGCTGAGAATCCTGGACACAGGCCCGTGGACAGGGGAGGGGCCCGAGGGCCGGCCAGAGTCACCTGGGAATCTCTGTCAGCTGCTCAATGATTAACCAGAAACGGTCTGGAGGCCAGCTGGACCCTTGCTAAGCCCAGAGCAGCTGGGTGGTGTGCACGCATGCGTGCACGGGTGCCGTTCCGCAGCCCTGCGATGTCGTGAGAAGGAAAGCCGAGTCTAGGAAGACCACATGAGGCCTTAGTGACTCTCAGTAATTTTTTCCTGGGAGCCGCGCGCACCGTCTGTGCTCTGCAGCACCTGGCGGCGCTGCGTCTCACTTGCCCTTGTGAAGGTGTGCATGGGGAAGCCAGGGTGTTTGGGGTGGGGTTGGGGACACGAGGTTGTTCGGGACGGGTCCTGCCTGGCTCACATCTGCAGCTGATGTTGTGACTCTGACTTCAGACCTCAGAGGTGGCTCGGGGGGAGAATTTCAGACAAATGAGGCAGTGAGGTCGGCCCCCAGCTCGCCCTGTCGGGGTGGGGCTTGAAGAGATTCCTATCAACAGGAAAGCACCCCATCTGCTTCCCACGCCTGCCGATCTCTCCATTGAAATCACCAACAGAAATGTAATCTCCCCCTGGACACAGCCACTCACACATGGGCCTCTAACTCCCCAGGGGGTGGAGATTGGGAGGTTTGCGTTTGAGGCTAGTCCAGGCACAACTGAATCATGATACCTCACATCAACCAATGAAAAGTTGTGCAAGGTGACGTGTGCCCGCTACCCTGATTCACCAGGAGTGTCGATGAGAGGGTCACCGTCCGGGCTGAACGTGGGCAGAAAGCCAGATCTTCCCTAGAAACAATCACGTGTGTGGCTCAAGTAGCAGAGCTCCTTCCGCATGTACAACACCCTGAGTTCAAGCCCTACTTCTGCCAAAGGAGAAGAGCACTTTCTTAAATAGAATGAACTATATAGTTGCATCCATGAATTATCTATCCTCAAGGTAATTGTTAATCAATAAATTGGAAAACGGGGGGAAACTGTCCAGTTGGGAGAAAGAGATCAGCACATCCTCACTACATGTATAGTTCAGTGTACATTTGACATATGCAATGCGTATGCTGTCCCCATGCCTGTGTGTATCCAGACATGCATTCACGTCTACTATAACACACGTGGACATGCGTGTATACACACATGTTCGTAAAAGTAGGTGATGAGTAGACACAGAGCAGAGGCTGTGGTCTATGAACAACAGCCCACACAGGTGTGCTGCAGACTTGGGCAGAGCCGGGACTGTGGTCCTGTGTGATCCTGGGGCGGCTTTTCCAGGCAGAGCCGGGACTCCCTGACCTGCAGTGCCCAGGCCCCGCACAGGGCTGCCTTCCCTAGCGCTCTCCTCTCACCTCTGTCGGGTTGAAGCACTGCTGGAAGAGGGAGATGGAGTCAGGGGCAGGGGTCGGCCTGTCCCCCACCCGAGGACACACTCACCCCAAGGGTCACAGCCCAAGGGCAGCTGTGAAGAGCATCACCATACCAAGTAAATTCTTACCTGGAAATAAAAGCAAGCAAGTCGGTACTAAGGTCCCCTCTGCTCCGCTACTGAGGTCTGTGTGTGGCCACGTGGCTTCACAAGTCACATTATTCTGCATTCTTATGAAAGAAATTGCAGATGAAGTTTTTAAGTTTCTTGGAGAAAACTATGAATGTGTGTACATGCATATGTTTGTGTGTATGTGTGCATGTGTGTCTGGGCAGGGGTCAGGGGACTCTTTTTCCCTGAAGTGTATGTGTGTACATATGCATGTGAGTGCACGTGTGCATGTGTGTGTGTGTGGTGGGCAGGCATCAGTGGACCCTTTCCTGAAGTGTGTGTGCATATGCTTGTGTGTGCATGTGTGTGTGTGTGTGTGCGTGTGGTGGGCAGGGCCAGTGGACTCTTCCTGTAGTGTATGTGCACGTGTGTGCAAATGTGTGTGTGTGTGCGTGTGTGTTGTGGGCAGGCATCAGTGGACTCTTTTCCTGTAGTATGTGTGCACGTGTGTGTGTGTGTGGTGGGCAGGCATCAGTGGACCCTTTACTGAAGTGTGTGCGTGTGTGTGCACATGTGTGCACGTGTGTGTGCATGGTGGGCAGGGCCAGTGGACTCTTTTCCTGTAGTGTGTGCACATGTGCGTGTGTGTGCACGTGTGTACAGATGTGTGTGTGGTGGGCAGGGTCAGTGGACTCTTTTCCTGTAGCATGTGCATGTGTGTGCACGTGTGCACAGATGTGTGTGGGGTGGGCAGGGCTAGTGGACTCTTCCTGTAGTGTGTGTGCATGTGTGTGCAAATGTGTGTGTGTGTGTGTGGTGGGCAGGGTCAGTGGACTCTTTTCCTGTAGTGTGTGCACATGTGTGTGTGTGTGGTGGGCAGGGCCAGTGGACTTTTCCTGTAGTGTGTATGCATGTGTGTGCATGTGTGTGTGTGTGTGTGGTGGGCAGGGCCAGTGGACTTTTCCTGTAGTGTGTGCATGTGTATGCAAATGTGTGTGTGTGTGGTGGGCAGGGCCAGTGGACTCTTCCTGTAGTGTGTGTGCATGTGTGTGCATGTGTGTGCAAATGTGTGTGTGCGCGTGGTGAGCAGGGCCAGTGGACTCTTCCTGTAGTGTGTGTGCATGTGTGTGCAAATGTGTGTGTGCGCGTGGTGAGCAGGGCCAGTTCAGCAGGGGATTGCTTCCCCATTCAGGGGCAGCTCCCAGCTTCTGGGGCATCCGAGAGTGCAGGTCGTACTCACACCTGACCTCACCTCTGGGCTTGGCTTGCTCACTCTCTCTTTCCTCCCCGGCTTAGTCCCGGTTGAGGCGGCAGGATGCCGGCCTAAAGACCCACCTGGACCAGCTGGACCAGCAGATCAGCGAGCTGCAGCTGGATGTGTGCCGGCCGGCCTGCGAAGCCCTGGACAGCGACAGTAGGCCCAGCTCAGGTACGGCCAGCGCCCAGACCAGCAGCAGCCTGCCTGCAGGCCCCGCCTGAGGGCCCCGCCTGAAGGCCCCGCCTGAGGGCCCCGCCTGAGGGCCCCGCCTGAAGGCCCCGCCTGAAGGCCCCGCCTGAAGGCCCTGCCTGAAGGCCCTGCCTG